GATCAAGCCATCAACGACCATGAGAAACATAAGTACACAAGAGAATACGAAGCACATACCGATAATTTGCTACACGACGAATCGTTGATGCAAGACAAAGGAAAATATATTAGAATCCTTGAAAAACTAATAAACAAAAAATATGAGTATTGACCATTAAAAAGAAAAAACAATAGATCTACCAAAAAAGAAGAAAATAAATTGGATGAATAAATACCTAGGTAAAACCATCATCATGATCTTTTAGAGAGACGTTATATATTGGATCTAACAACGTAAATTATGTACCGTATACCATGATGACACTGCAGAATCAAGGAAAAAAAGGAAAAATAACAAAGAAATCATTAGTAATCGTTATTAAGATCAAATCTTAATACAATTCAATCGAAATATAAATAATTTTTTAAAATATCCTAAACAAAAGACAATCGTTAGTTAGACCATGCAAACGAATCTTAAGCCCCAGAATATTTCATCGTAAACCTGCAAATAAGAAAACAGAACAAACAATTATATAAAAAATAACACAGCAACACAGTAGATAATGGCTTAAAAACAAACAAAAACACATTATAATAGAGATCAACAATGAAACGGAACAACAAAAAACTCATACCTTGGCAACGAAGAAACCTGCAAATACGATGCATGAAAATAAAAGAATCACGGCACTCAACTATATAACCAAACACTAAAAAAGCACATACTTAGAAGACGAAACTAAAGCGGCGGAGGAGATATTCATGTACGGTTAAACACTAATTAACCCCAATATATAGAAGAAAAAATAATAAAGTTGCACTTAGGGTTTTAATAACATAACCGAAAATCAATTATGGGCTAAAGAAAATATCAGATCTAAACCCAACGAAACATATATAAATCGAAATAGGCATATTTTGGTAAAAAAAATAATTGATGGCAAAGGTAGGTAATTAAATGGATTTTATTAAGGGTACCCTTGTAATCAACCACCTCAAAATCGTCCTTAGGCCGCCACGTAGGATTTTTTACTTCATATTTAAAAGAATAGATTATTTGTTAAAATGTTTGAGTTTATTAACTCACTTTTGTAGCTATTGTTACTTGACACAAAATTGTAATAATATAGCTACAATGATTTTTGCGAAATCGATTTGTAACTACTGCGACAAAAAAGTTTGTAGCTATTTGTCATTACTACACAAGCTACACTAAAAAAATTTCAGTTTTTATTGAAGCAAATTGTAGTTTTTGTTACATGTTTCTTAATGTGTTTGTAGCAATATTTCTCTCTACTATATCGTCACAATTTGAAGCAAATATTCGATAATATTAAATTTATAGTAAATTCATAAGAAATTACTCACAAATTATTACGTATTTACTATAACTGACTAACTTCATAAATTAGTTGTAAAACTGTATCAATTTGAGCTATTTTTTGCTACAAATTTTTATTGTCACAAAATTTGTGACTATGTTAACCAATCCTTATAGTGTTAGCTGTAATTTTTAGGACTTCATCCGCGACATCAGACATAATAAGGTTAGTTGAGGTTGTTTCATGAGGCATTAAAGTTCTTGTTCATATCTATTGTTGTACCTTGTTCATTAGCGTTAAAACAAGATTAGTGAATAGATAAACATCTCAATGGAGAGTGAAGTTATATTCAATATTATAGAGAGCTAGTGGTGTTCACGACGTACGTCTCATTTTCTTTATATATGTATGAACCCATGGTTTCTCCTACAAGTAAATGGTTTCCGATCGTGTACTTTCCACCCATATATAAAGAAAATGATTATGTTTGGTTCACTGTACTCGAATGCGTAATAACATAAATGTTTGTGGTCACCACCTATGTTAAATTTAACTGCTTGAGCTCGTGTGTCAATCACATGATCTTGCAATAACACATACCAAACATGATCAGGTAGTTGTTTTTTATAAAGAGAAATACTCCACTGTACTCGATCGATCACATACTACAACAATGGTTTCCGATCGTGTACAGAGATGAAACAAGAATGGTATAAAGATTAGTATCATTTCATGATTTTTAATTGATAGATAATTAATTACCTGATCATGTTTGGTATGTGTTATTGCAAGATCATGTGATTGACACACGAGCTCAAGCAGATAAATTTGACATAGGTGGTGAGTGGTGACGACAAATCAAATTTACGTGAACCTCCAAACACCGAATATTGAACCTCTCTCATATTTCTATTAGGAATGTCATGGATCTAATTGTAAATGACAAGATAATACATAGTTTTATGATTGTTCATACTAAAAGTTTTTGGTGATTTATAAGCTTGCAAATCCAATAGATATGGAATCATCATCATCTTCCCATAAAGTAAAGTATACCACCTATGACTAGTCCAAAATCTGGTTGGACTGATTCTTGGATTCGAACGTCCTTTTAACACTAATTTGTTTGTAGATTTTGATCTATTGAACTCAATGCACCGTTGAATAACTAGGACATATCAATCAGTCTACACTTGTGATCCAGTTTTGGATATCACATACTACAACTTGTTTTTCTCTGTATCTATTTAAAATATTCATTTGAATCTCAATGTGCCCATTCTTATGCTCACTTCTTTCTTCCTTTTTAGTCCACTTCAAAGCAGAGCATTTTACTTTAGTTTTTTTTGGTCGGTGGTCAAAGTTTGGAAGAGTCAAACCAAACACACATTGATGGTTGGATCAAGATATAATATCCGACAAAAAAATAGGATATCCGCGATATCTGGATTTGGACACGAATCCGAAAGCAATAACTAAAATAATAAAACAATGTATAAAACAGAATTTTAGAAAAATTATATTTGAATGATATTTTTCTCAAAATAAATATAATATATTATAAAAAGAATTCAAATCAATTTATATATTTTATATAAAAATAACTTAATATATATTTTTAATATATTAATGTATCAAGGATATCAAAACCTTATAATTTTACTATCCGGATTCGGACACGTGAGTTTATATATTATTTTTGAACTCTTTGGATATCCTTGATCAAACGAGTATGGATCCTTGATAATAATGCCAGTCTAGTGCTTGCAATTATACGAGGTCCCACTTAGCTCAAAATGTAACAAATGTCGAATAATATTATTGGAGGAATTTGGGTTAAGTTCAGAAAGTGGTTAAATTCTCTCTAATGTCGTCAATGAACACGTCATGAAAAAATGCAAGTTGGTAGGGTCTATAATCTATATACTATATGAATGCGTCCTCAATGACGTCCACAAGAACGCCAC